AAAAAAAAAAAAAAAAAAAAAAAAAGAGGGGAGATAAGATGATAGATGTTTGATAGGAAAGCAGAAGAAAACCACACCAGGGCACCCCCTAACAACCCACTCAAACGTTTCTGCAGTCTCATCTTAGAAAATTGTGAAACAGCATTGGTTTGGCGCCACTAGAAACAATTTCCTATCATTAAAGAGAATGTCAAAACTAGTTCACGCAGCCAAGCAAGTCCGTCACTGTATCTGAGACATCTCAACATATGTAGTTTTACAGTACTTGCAACACAAACACATCATATTAAATGCTGAAGAATAGACACCTTACGGGAGAGCAAAACAAAGCAAAGGAGGAAGAAAGATTAGTTTTACGGCACTTGCAACACAATAAAGGTCATATAAGTGCCGGAGATTACAAGTGTTAAAAGAGAGCAATAAACAAAAAAACAAAAAAAAAGATCAGGACGATAGACCTTTGATAGGAAAGAAGCAAAGCATACCAGAGCACCCGGCCAACCACTCCCTATTTCAAAACTTACCCACAACCGATGGCTCTAGATCAACAAACACTGCCCTCGGTACGTGTTTCCCCGCTCCGGTCTCGCTGAAGAAGGTGTTGAAGGAGTCGTCACCACCCCCAATAGTCTTGTCTGACGGCATCTGGCCATCAGGCTAAGGGACAAAACACAGTACAAGATTAAATTAAGGCTAAAGTGGAGAGGAGAAAATTTTAAAAATAAAAATCTGGACTACAAATATTGGTCATAACGCGAGGGACATGCAAACAAAAACAGGTGACTTTTCAGGATTTAACCTTATGGGCATAGACATGCGTCAAACTTTATTGGTTGGGTTTGTATATAACGGTAACAAAAAAGGATAAAAGACGAACTTTGCCACCACCAAATCAAAAGCCACCTGTCACCAAATTGAGGACAGAGGAACTTTCAATAACCACCATCAGACTGAACCTAAAAATTTAGCCTTCACCACAGAAACGCCAATTTTCTAGACTCAAATTTTACAAAGGCCAAAGACTTCCCACATTTGAAACCAGCTATAATAGAAATAAAGTAATAAAGATCACTTCTAAAGCACCCACCTGCTGGTGCTTTACCC